AAACAATTTGCCACTATCTAATCAGTTATAATTATGCATAAACAATACGTCGTTCTTTTTAAATTGACTACTTTCTCGTGTACATTGTGAACAGTATAATCGATTTACTAGAACTTAATTCTCGCGAAAGTAGAATTTATTTTGTAATAAATATTGCGAGGCGTTTCAATTTAAATGAACGCCACTTTCTTTTCCGCAGTAATTTTTTACTTCTTTCCTTAAAAATCGTAATTACAGGAATCACGATGAACGACGGCACGGAATGGAAAGAGCTGCGCGGATGGATGGTGCGGACGATGAAATTTTTCGGATTGGGGAAGAGCGAGATGTCCGAGATGCTCAAGAACGAATTGTTGAATATGGTGGAGAACCTGAAGACCAAAGGTGGCCCGAGGAAAATGAAATCGCTGATAACACCAGCTGTTGTGAACGTTCTATGGTATTTGGCGACGGGAACACCGTTCTTGGATGGGAAGAAGTATGTACACGAGTCTACCGTTCGATTTCTATGCTTTGAACCCCGTTTCCACGTATTTGGTCTTTGACGCGTGCAAACCCGACTGGTTCGACTTGAAATCGTTTACTTTCTGCATTGTGCCATAAATACGCGAAACTACTCCTCCTGGCTGGCAAGATTTTTCAATAACATTTCGTAATAACGATCCCAGGAAAACTTCAATAAAAATCATATTGTAATCGTTTACGCTTCCTGTATTATACCATAAATTTCTGAGAAAATTAAATAAAAATCGTTACTATCTTTGGATAGATTGCAATTTTTTTCAGACTTGTTAGAGACTCGATCTAAAGCGTTCGACATGGCTGGCGGATGGCTGAGTACGTTCCCTTGGATACGTTATATCGCACCCGAGTCCTCAGGTTACAACGTTCTCATGACGCTAAACAATGAGCTCAGGAATTTCCTACTGGTGCGTTCGTCAAATCGATTTAATTACACAATGATTTATCAAACACGCGAATTCCTTTTTTTTTTCAGGAGTCTATCCGCGAGCACAAGAAGAATTACAAACCGGGAAGCGAGGCTGACCTAATCGACATGTTCCTCCACGAAATGGAAGACCACACTGAGTACGATACCGTCTATACTGGTAAGAAAATTTCTGTCTTTTACTCTCTGTTCTATACACTTTTATTAACAATGAACATGCTCTTCAGAGGAGCAGTTGGTGATAATTTTGGTGGATCTGTTCATCGCCGGTTGTACCACTACCGGCACAACCGTGGATTTCTTGTTTCTGCACATGGCTGTTCACCAAGACGTGCAGCGTAAATTGCAAAAGGAAATCGACTCGGTAATTCCACGCGATAGGATCCCGGATTTAGACGACAGACCGAAGTGAGCAGATTCAAATTACATAAGGTTTCCAATAAACGTTTCACATAAAGATAGAAGATTCTATACAAGCATTTACTCGTCAATCATTACTCGTGAGAGAGTAAAAGTGAAACGCGGTGAGAAAGCCGAAATTCTTTATTGTTGCAGACTTCCATATGTGGAAGCAGTTATGTCGGAGTCGCAACGATTATGGCCCGTGTTTCCTATAGTCGGACCCCGGCGAGTTCTACGCGATACGGATCTCGATAAATACACGATACCTAAGGAGTCCACTGTGTTAATGAACTCGTTTTCCATCAGCAGGGACCCGAACCTTTACACCGATCCCGAGAAGTTCATACCCGAAAGATACATAAAGAACGGAGCTTTCGTACCTGACCCATACTCTTTACAATTCGGCAAAGGTAAACGCCTCGTCAGAAATATATTTCATACTAACACCGCGATCTAATAAGAATTCATTTTAACCTTGATCTTCATTTTGCTCTCGATAAAATGCGATTTTTTCATACATATTCGCATTAAGTTCATTTTCGGATTATTTGTTTGACGTTCGAGAAAGTTATACCTTTCACGAATGATTAATTGGCACCATCATGATTAGACTGCGGATTTTACGCATTTAGAAGAACATCTAATATGCAGAAATTACAAGACTATTCGGCATATCAAAAGCTGAACGCATATTTAAACGGATTATTTGAACCGTAAATAGGATTTTCTTATAAAAATCTAGTCATGATAAATTAAACAAAAATGGACGATTACGATTACCCATTGTACGTTTCTATGCAATGAAACACTCTCTCCCTGCTTGCGGCCAATATTTTCCACGATCTGCTTACGTTAACCTGAATTTGTTTGATTTACTGAACTACAGGGAGACGACGATGTCCAGGCGAAGCGTTGGCCAAGGCTGCGTCGTTCATTCTCTTCGTTGGCGTAATGCAAAAGTTTAACATTCTTCCAGTACCCGGTAAAGGACCGACGACTATTGAAGTCACTTTTGGCATAACGACGTCGCCAAAGCCTTACGAGATATTAGCCGTACCGCGATAATTAGCGCCACAAAATTTTAACACTCTAGCTTAATTAACGAACCGATGTATATCGAACTTCGCCTCTCCCGCACTGTTATAGAAGTTCGTTAATCTCCCGAGATATTTTGAATCAACTAACACTTCAATTTTCTGGTAACTACGTACGTGTCAGTGAACACGCACACCCGAGTGCTGTGCGTTCAGTTGGTCAAACGGTAACAGTTTACTTACATATACGTATGTATAAAGACGTAGAGTTAGTCTCGTAAACAATAAATATATGGGATAAAGTATACGTTACTTGTAATCCTTTAGTAAGTTAAAAGGGCGTAAAAATTAAACGGAAAATGGATAAGAGTTGAAATATACGTTTTATGATAAAAGCAAATGTGATTGTTTGATGTTGTGACGAAACAAGTTGACAATGAAGATGCCTCAGCCTTTTTCCAACAAGTTTCTCGAACCACTCAATCGATTATTGTTACAATGTGATTAAGATCGATTCCGCAACGCGTCGCGTCGCGTCGTCAACTTCGTAGACCTGGCGTGCGGACGAACGGTAGACGTGTTTGACGATTCAACAAATTTTTCCTCCGCGCATATTGTTTATTGTTTCTGCCCCGTGAAAGTTGCTCTAACGCGTCGTTTTACGTGTTCGACGAAACCCGCTCGTTTCGCAGAAGTCCAAATGTACCTTCGTCGGTGCGGCACGTGGCGATTTGGTCCTTTTACACCATGGAACCCTCCGCCTAGGCGTTTCTCTGCTGCTGGAGAACTGTACGTATTCAACATTATTTCTATACCAATTGATCGTAGTTAGAAGATTAAGTGCATTAACCAGATGGTAAGTCAAATGTATTGATTAGATATTAAATCGAATACATGTGTCGAACACATCTCTGACAATCGCAGAATTAATCTGACATTCATTGAACGAAATACGATTCGAATAATCAATGAACTGTTTTAAGAATGTATTGGCTATACAGTCAATCCCAAAAGTTTATGCACTTTAGAAACACATTTTTTAAAAAGAAATCAGACGTCGGA